GAGGAGACTATGTAGAATGCTACAGTAGTTGTCATGATTCCCAGCATCTGACAGTGGACTTGATACATTCTAAATGTATGCATGTATAAAGTCAGATGCTGGGAATCAAGACAACTACTATGGCAGACGATTTCGGACTAGGTGCGCTCTACATAGTCTCTCTGAACACAAGACCGAGTTGCGAAAAGATATTTTGCCTAAAAACTCTAAAGCGCCAAATGCATTCGTACAAGCATGATTGTGTGGCTATGAGACAAATGTGGGAAAACCCCGTCGCAAAACTTTGCTTTCGCGTCAAGAGAGCACACTTTAAGCATTGTATAACATTTCCATGGCTATTTGCTTCATTGTTAAAGCAGAAAATTCGGCTTTTGACGTAATATGGTGGGCATTGTACCGGATTGTAAGATGAGCCCTTTTCAATGTGATCCCTAAGATATGGTTTTCTCTTTTGTTATTTCATAACAGGAATAAAGAATGGTAAGAGTAACTGGGGTTAGATAAATCTCATGAAATAACATTGTTGGGAAGAATTTCATTTCGTATGAAAATGCATAAATAAGAGATTCATAGGTTGATCTCACCAGAAAACGACGGCTGATTCGCGTTATACTGCAACCATTTGGTGTCAACATGACGTTCAGGTTGACGCACAAGACATCCTCCCTCAATCCGGGGAAAACGGGCTGAGTTTTCGTCCATTATATGACGTTGAGCTTACTTCCGGAATCGAAGACGATTGCCTCGGAAACAGCGAGAACAAGAAGTTCCAGTAAAGTCAATCGACAACTGGTCAAGAGGAATCCGTCTTTTTATTGTGGGGGGATCAAACTTCGAACATTTTCACTCGAAATTGAAGTAGGCTCAACAGTTATGAAACAAGAGATTCATCGAAGCCCAACTTTTCTCCGCATCATATGAAGGACATTTTCAAAACTGGAACACATTCTTGTAAAAGTCTAACGTTTAAACCCCCTCAAGAGGACTGTCCGGCTCCATCTAAATT